AAGAAAATGTGAGTTTGTCCAACAGCGGAGTGTTATTTTAGGACATGTCGTTAGTAAGGAAGGGATCTCGACGGATCCCGATAAGGTGAAAGTCCTGGAGAAATGGCCTACTCCAAACAACCTATCGGACTTGCGTTCGTTCCTTGGCTGCACGGGTTACTACAGGCAATACATCCGGGATTACGCAAGAATTGCCGAACCACTTTATAGACTTGAACGAAAGGGAACGGTTTTCAAGTGGAACGACGATTGTCAGAAAGCATTCAACATTCTAAAGACAAAATTGATAACGGCCCCAATACTGACCTACCCGAGACTCGACATTCCTTTTATTCTTGATACTGATGCCTGTGATACGGGGATTGGAGCTGTGTTGTCACAACGCCATGGAGAAGACGAAAAGGTTATTGCCTATGCCGCCAGGTCCTTATCAAAAGCGGAAAGGAACTATAGTACTACTAGGAAAGAACTATTGGCCCTTGTATGGTCGATGGAACATTTTGCATCCTATCTAATAGGAAAACCATTCAGAGCACGTTCTGATCATAATGCACTGAGGTGGATAAGAAATTTTAAGCAACCTAAAGGACAAGTAGCATGATGGATTGAAAGATTGTCCATTTTTGACTTTGAAATTGAACATAGACCTGGACGTAGTCATGGTAATGCTGATGGTGTATCACGTATACCTCAGGATACTCGTGAGGTACAGAGTGGCCACGTATGTAACGCATCGAATGGTAATGACGAAACGAGCCCGTGGTGTCTGCGCTGGACAGCGAAGGAACTGAGTTTGCATCAACACGAAGATCCAGAGATTTGTCGCGCGATCGGATGGGTGAAAGACGGTAAGCGACCACCGAAGGAGGATATAACACGTATGGGTCCTCTAATGGGCAAACTTTGGAGCAAATTCGATCAATTGACGCTTGTTGATGGACTTTTGTATCGTATTTTCGAGAACGATAATGGTAATGACCGACATCTTCAAATTTGTTTACAACGAAAATTAATAAAAGAAGTTTTGGAGTTGACTCATGATATTCCCAGCGCGGGTCACCTCGGTTCTCAGAGGTTAAAAGAAGTGATAAAGAGAAGATGTTATTGCAGCGACTGGCAGTCAGATGTCGAGATGCATTGCAAGAATTGTCAGATATGCGCAGAACGAAATGGACCGTCGAGAAAACGATGGTATTGGATCAACCGGGATACCCAATGGAACGTGTTGCTATGGACATCATTGGACCACTACCTAAAACCCCTGATGGTAATCGATATATATTGGTGGTCGTGGACTATTTCACGAAATGGCCGGAGGCGTACGCGATTCCAAATCAAGAAGCACGTATCATTGCACAAAAATTGGTGGATGAGTGGATTTGTAGATATGGAATCATGCAGCGACTGCATACGGACCAGGGGAGAAATTTCGAAAGCGCGGTCTTCAAAGAGATAATCGATATTCTTGGGATAAAGAAAACCCGAACAACACCATACCACCCTCAAAGTGATGGCCTTGTTGAACGAATGAACCGGACTCTGAAAGATATTCTTTCAAAGTTGGTCAATGAACGTCAAGATGATTGGGACAGATGTTTACCTCAAGCATTGTTGGCGTACCGGTCCACCGTGCAAACCTCAACAGGGTTCTCTCCACATTTCTTGATGTTTGGAAGAGAAACAAGAATCCCAGTTGACCTAATGACACCTGAGCCCCCTCAAGCAGAAGTACCACCGACTACATCAGAGTATGCGGAAAAATTGAGGAAACGTTTTGAAAGAACATACGAGTTGACCAGAGTAAATACAAAGAAATCTAGCGAGCGATATAAAGACTACTATGACGCGAAGGCGAAAGATACGACGTACAACGTCGGGGAGAAAGTATGGTTGTATGTACCATTTGTCAAAAAGGGAAAGAATTTGAAGCTATCACGGCCGTGGCGGGGACCATATACGATTGTGAAGAAAATTTCAGATGTGGTGTATCGAATCGAGAAAAATGCCAACAAAAGGAATAGGTTAGTAGTCCATTACAATCGTCTTAAACCGTGTTTTGAACGACTGTTGAAAAGTCTACCTAATCGACCACCAAACGAGACGAAACTGCAATCGAAAGAAACCACCGAAACGAGAAAAGAAAACGTGGAGAATTGTAGTGGCCAAACCCCGCAAACGGAACCCCCAACCAACAGAGGAAATGATGAGGATGAGTGGACAGTGAGGTATTTTAGAAGAAATTTGAGACAAAGTAGACCAAGTCGGGCAATTAACGGGGAGGAACACGGACAAAATTTACCTGATGAGGTCCAAGAAGACGTACAACATATACCTGACGAATTACAACAGGATGGGCCATTGAGTTTAATGGAACAGGATAATCAGAGAGACGGTAGCGACGAGACATTGCGAGAACCAGTAGAAGGAAACGAGGGACAGTCACAAGCCCCACCGGAAAGACCAGCGCGAACGAGAAAAAAACCAGCGTGGTTACGGGACTATGAATAGCTTTAGCTATACATATATGTCGGACTGTACTGCATTTTTGCAGCTTAGTTATCTATTAAATTGTACTGCATTTTTGCAGCTTTGTTATCTATTAAATTTAGAGGGGAATAGTGTAGAGAATATAGAGACCGACGTTATAGAGACTGACGTTAGCAAATATAGGTGGCGTGGACGAGCGTTGATCGATAGTTTTAAATCCGGACACTACAGGAAAGTTGTAAGACTGTTAATATTAATATATCTTAAGAAATAAATTATTACAATATCAAAGGAACTAGATTCTGTTCCGAAATATCACATACTCGAACCGACCAGACCGCATAGCTCAGTTGGCAGAGCATTGGGCTAGTATTCCAAAGGTCGTAGGTTCGATTCTCACCGTGGTCAGGCATATTTTTCAAGCTTGGCCGGTGTGGATATACACTCAGAGTAACATCACAAGCATCTTCAAGTTAAAATTTTGACATTTTCAGGTAAAATTTGCATAATAAAGTAATTATTTTTGTGAAGTGATAACCATTTTTATAAAATACAGTCAATTTACACGAAATTTGTTTGCAAAATTGCTTTAGAAAATGCCAGAAATTCAGTCAGAGTTTCAAAAATGTAAAAATTTTCTGGGGGAGACCCCCCCTTTCTCCCAAAACTTAGTATGAGAGTGCCAATCAATTATTACACGTATAATTATTACATGTATAATCCTCCAACAACCCCCCCCAAACATCAGATGCTTTGCTATGTCCCTGATGGTTGTATTCGAAACCGATTTCAGTTTTAAGATATCTTTAGTCTGCTCTTCTAAATGGATACATGAAATCACCTATAGCTTATTTAAAAATTTTTGGCGCCAGGTTTGTGAAGTAATTTCCAAAAAGTAGCAGTTCCAAAAACAAAAAAGCATACGATTTGTAAGAATGATATGTTCTATATTTATGGGATATTTAGTACAAACAGGATGAAAATTAAAGAAATTGAAGCATACTGGCACTTTTACATGCATTTTTGACAGACATGCAAAGACATCTGCAACAGATGCCAGGAGATGTTGGGTGGGGGCGACATTCCCTAAGGTTCCATGACATTACCCTGATCTAGGAAATCCTGGTCACTACATGAATGTGTTCAAGACTTCGACTACGCTGAATGACGGACAACAACAACCTGTTAATAATTTCGCGCCTAGAGCCAATCTAAAATGTTTTTTTAAAGACGGTGCCATTTCATCTGGCACTAGTAAGGTGAAAGAAGCAGCAGGTCGGTATTTTTGTTGAGGAGAAGCACATGCTTGAGTATACCAGACATCTTGAGGAACTGCAAATTGTATCTATGATAAGAGACAATTCCGGATTGTACTCCTTCGATTCCGAATTCTGTACGGGGGGGGCATTGAAAATTTTAAAAACTTGGAGGGGGGGCATCGAGAATTTACCAATAATCTCAACAGGGGCCCTGTAAAAATATGAGCTTTTTTCAAGACATCTTCATCCCCCCCCCTCGGCATAATAAATGTACTTTCCCTAAGTTAAAACCTGCTTTACTTTAAAAAAAAGGTTATATAGGTATAAAGGCTACATCTTATGTATGATGATCAGTATTGCTTATAATAAATGTTGAGTTTTCAAAAGGAAATTAATATTCGTAGTTTGTTGATACCCCATCTATATAGCCATCAATAAACAAGAAATGTATTTGCATGTCGATACTAAAATGACATTACATGCATGATTGGTAGTCTATCGAGCGTAGGAAAAACAGATACGTATGATGGTCTGTTTGAGTGGTTCTGTCAGGAAATACCACTTGCATGCATGCCTTCTCGGCATTCACACTCACGGCATGTTTCACAGCACATGCAAGCGATTTTATATTAATTTCTGCGCGAGTACTGGAATAGATTGGTTATGTGTTATTATGCATGATGTTATGTGTAACGATGTAGCTATAGGCCTATATAGCTTATGAATGGTTTGCTATAGCTGGCTGTACCACACCAATTTCTGTTTTAAAATGCAATGACATATAAAACTTTGACAAGTTATGCACACATATATGGTAAGATAAAAACAAGTTTAACGAAAATATGTTATAGAATACTAACATTTTTGGCGCATATCATATGTGCACTGCATGCATGATATCTACATTCACGTACTGACATACATTTAGATAACCTATATACATTTGTTTGATACTTTAAAATACTGTTCATAGTTTCAATACATGCTATTTTAATAGGCATTTTAATTTTGGCAATAAAACATGCATGCAGAATTTCACAATAATAAGTGAGATGTAAAGACTAATGGTGCTCTTAGCATGAGACATGCATACCTGTACATCATATGTAGCTGCATATTGGTTTGGATAAATAAAACAATTAATATAAAGGATAAAATGAGTGCTCATAGCTTACTTCTTCATTTGACGATTATTTGAAAATAAGATATTAGTATAAAACTAAATGTATAACACTGCCAACAAATCCAAAGGACAAATTGCCCTTTGTGTTGCCATATAGTCTATGTACTTGAACACGATTTAAATGAGCGATTGGTATCGAATTATGCTAATGTCATGAAATGAAATGTTTTCAATTTTAAGGCAAAATTTTTAAAAACGTCCTTTAGAAGCAACATGGCATGCATGTACATAATAATTTGGTGAACTAATCTTCATTGTAATTCACATGCATGATCTCACTTTGTTTAAAATAGGAGAAGAGTATACCATATAACATGCCTGAAAAACCGAACATTGACGTTTATCTTTCACTCGATACTTGCCGAACTTATTTTTCACATAATCCCAATATGCTTTGGTAGCTAACTGTCTAGCAAAAAATTACATGGGTGCTGTCATGAACTAAATGTCTATACATAGCATTTCCTTTAGTTGTTGTCATAATCGTTTAATAAATAATGCCGACTGCATTATGACAATCTGACAGGAATATCGGTTGCAAAATTATATTTTGAAAGTGTAATTTAAAAAAATATAATGTCTTAAATACGTCCTAACGAATTATTATCTTAATTAAATTTCTTATTATCTTCTTTCACATGTTTATTTTACAATGTTTCGTCTGACTTTCTGCTTGCTTGCGTGCATGTATGTGCTGTAGAATTTATTTGGCACATAGTGCAGTCTGCAGGAAATTCATGATTGTTGGTAGCCATCTGCTCTGGGTATTCTGCTAAATGTCATTCGTCATCATAGCTTCCCTTTGCCATCGGGCACTACATTTAATTAAAGCATCATACTGAATGAAGTTTTTCAACTAACCTATATCGCTATCAATGCAAGATCACTCTTTATTTTTTATACTATATACATTTTATATTTATACAGGAATATGGGTTTTCCAAGGGAATTTTTTTTTGAATATTGTTATTGACAATAACTTGTGTTGTACAATTTGATAAGTGATTATCATATTTTAATAACAACATGCATGCACTTTGCATTATAATTTTATTTCCTTTCATGGTTCAATTCATATACGTTTGGTTAATTGCTTTTAGCCAAGACGTTTTAGAGGAACCACAAATGTGTCGTGAAGGACATGCTTTTTGTAGAAGTTGCATCGAAACCTACTTGGTTGAGCATCACAACAGGTGTTGTCCTAACGATTGGAGTCCACTGTTGCCTGTAGATCTAAGGTGAATCTTGACTCTTCAAGGATATTTGGAGAATCAAGAAGTTAGGTGCCCGGAGAGGAATGAAGAAAACGAAGACACCTGCTCTTGGGAAGGACAAGCTAGTACAGGCAAATTTTGACATTTTTGGAACTTTTTAGGCAGAAATTCTTATTGTGATTTTCTGAAAGACCAATGCCTATAGTGTAAGAATTGTGATGGTTTTCAGTCTGGGGAGGTGGCATTCACTCGGAACAGGGGGGTAAACCCATGGGTATGAAAAAAATTAATTTAATCAAAAGAATCAATAAGTACTCGTCAGACTGTATTTAAAGGTTACAAATTGTTCATTGATGCATGATTTGAGACTAGAAAGACTTCACAAAAGGTTGAAAAACAAAGTTGAGCTTTGTGCATCCGTTGCCATGGAGACGTGGCCTTTCAGGGGGGTGACAACGTTCATTTTAGGGGTTTTCCACCATGATTTCCTTTGTTTTCCCCCGGCATATTTGATGTTTTTGATGCAAATCAAATAGGTACATCTTGTTTGAATATTTTCGACAATTTTGATTCTATTTTCCCAAACATTCACAGGAAACTGCCTACTTTAGTTCATCAGGAGGCATAGATCTAAATCACTTCTTTTTGCAGAGCAATGAGGTAACGTTTGGCTTTATATTGAAATGTTCATTTTCTTCAAATCTATTAACAGATTGCCTACAGATTTGTAGTGCAAAGTTGCGCACTACAAATGCTGATTCTGTATATGATATCCATACATGGGAGAGGCAAACATATTTTTAATTGTTCAGAATCATCTCAAGTTTGTTCAACATTTATACTTTAGAATTACATGTAATTGCCTTTCGAAAGCAAATCTATCAAAGATTGGAGAGCATGGGCAGTAAGGATCTTGTTAATGATTTATACCATTTGTACTTCTTAATGCACCTTAAAAAGTAAGACGCGGAAATTCCGAAAACATTAAAAATTGTCATCACTGTGTCCACTTTCTTCGTCTGTTCCAACTTCATATTCTTCCTCACTATCGGTATTGTCCAAAAGTAACATTTCCAAATCTGTTGGAAAAACTTCGTCATGCCAATTAATTTCGAAATCGCCAGTCCAACCATGTTGACTTGGAGATGGATACGTGATATTTGCTACGGCGGAACTTTTCCACATGCAAGCCACATAATTACAGCGATTTAAGTGAAGAATTAGTGAGGATCGACATGGTGGTAATAGTGATAGATCAATGACTTTATTCTCCTTCATGTACTTTTTCTGAAATAACTCGTAACGGGCATCGTTTACTTGAATCTTCTTACTCCCGTACAGCTTACATACAAAATTTTCAAAGGAATCAATCAAATTTTCCGAAAGTTCCCAACCATTTCCGATTTCTTGGAATGCAGTAACGAATTCCTGTTTGCCTTTCATAATCTTCCAGCACTTGTTTTTCCCTTTCCCAAAGAAGGCTGAGGTATAATCGTTTCCCGTCACAGCGTGAAAACCAATAAGTGCTTCTCGCTCGTCAGGTGGGACTTGATAATCATTAAGGCAAATAGATTTTCTATTCTTACCAACACCATAATCGTAATATACTCTTTCTGGTTTTTGGATTAAAGCAATGCATAGCACAAGTATGTCAGTGTCAGCTGATGGTGATCTCAAATGAATTTTTGAGTCGTGCTTTTCTAGTGCGTCGAGAGTGTGTAAAATTACTTTAGTGTCAGCTTCCTCCTGATTGCTTGCTAAATGATCCAAGCGATTCACTGCTGATGATGTAACTTCGTGACATTCACCATCTCTTGAAAGAAGAATTTTGTTAGCTCTCAGAATTTGCAGGCAACGGGCTTTTTCCTTGATGATGAAGTCAAAAATTATGTCGATTAGGCGGCATTTGTTTTCACTATTCATCATGAACGCTTTGAAGTTTCGGGGAATCTTTGATTTCTCCGACTTTATAATAACCTTGGACGCCACTCTTTTGTTCCTTTCAGCTGTTTTGATACTAGCCCTGTGATACGTGTCAGCAACCAAATCAACGCGCACGTAACCTTTAGGGATTGACTGAAGAAGGTTGATAGCTAACTCCTCGTAGGTATCGGGAACCGCCTTGGTGATAATTCTGACTTGAGCAATGAAATCTATCACAAATACATCTGCATCAACAACCTCTGTCTGGGCCCCAGGCTCATCTTGGAACGATGATAGCACCTCAAGAAACTTACTTTTTTGTGTCACCCGACGAGATCCATCTGGATTTGAAAGGGATAGTGGTGTGGTTGAGAGCGGGTAGGAAAGAGCCACTTCAAAATCAATACTCTTTTCGTGTTTGGCTGAAATTGCCAGCAATTTACCTAGGATGTTTCTATTTGCCTCAATAACCGCTGATTTACCATTGTTATCCACCTTTGTCGATTTCGTCATATCCTTAAACATGGTAATTTTGGTTTTCTGGATAGGATCGTGGAAAGGTTTTAGCTTACCACTTATGCTCTCCTTTGTAAATTTCTCAAATTTCAATTGACCAATTTCCGAGCAGTTTAATACATCAGTACAAAGCAAGGGAACACCAGAACTCAAATTAAAAAGTTCAGTTTCCTCAATAACCACGTCAAACGGGTTAATATACTCTTCTGTCAATACTCTCATGATTTCACAAACAGCTTTATCAGACTGCAAAATCTTTGATGGTCGCAAGCAGCTGTGACTATTTGTCGTTGTAGATGTTCCAGCTTTCTCCTTTAATTTTCCTGTGTTCTTTGACTGCTCCGCTCGATTTAGGCACCATTTACGGATTGCGTTACTATTTGACGCAAAATTTCGTACACCACCTATTGAATGATAATTTGGAAACTGGTAAATTATTTTTAAACATATTACGGGTCTAGAGGCGGATTTCCAGTCCTCGCACGAAGCTCCTCGCAGCTCGCTGCGAGTGCATGCATGAGCACTTTCATCCAATCACAATGCTAAACAGTTAATTTTAATTAGATGTAAGCACTCGCAGCGAGCTGCGAGGACTGGAAATCCGCCTTAAGACGGAATCCTGTTGAATACATATGGAACGGTATATTCAGACTTTTAATTTTTTAATCAAACCATAGGATCAAACTTTATCGCCCTTGTGGCCTTTATGGTAATATTATGAGCATGAATTGATACATTCTGAGGTTATGTCAAATAACTTACCACTAGTTTTTGCATCACGATTTATCGTCTGCTCGCCCCTTTGATCTATCGATGTCCGCAACGGATACGAGTCTTGTGCTTGAACTGATAATCCTTCTTTATCAATGAGGTTTCTCAAACCAGGATACAAGTGTTCCATGTTTATCAGCGTATATACATAGTAGGAACCATATTGTGCGTAATTTATCTTGTTCAGTGCAAAATACATGGGTAATAGTTTCAACCACGCATTAATCATCATATCAACATTATTCTCTTGAACTCCAACATGCGCCATACATTGAGCTTGCATTAGGTCTAGATAAATCATCCAGAACTGTGCTGTTTTCCCTGCACTCCCCTGGCGAACACTTGATCTGTATCTCTCATATTCCACAGTGAAAGCAATTGATGCGTCATTCTCCAAGGATTGTAGCTTTACTGTGTCCAGGTCAATCAACTCGTAGAAACTATCTGGAATCGTTGCTGATTTCTCATACATGAAACGTTGAAGTAGCAACCGTTCTAATGCCTCAGAAAAGGCATTGTGAACAGTCCATCCACGGTTGTAGTGAGAACCTGCCAACACTCCTTGCAAGCTGCCAGACGTGCAAACACCGGACTGAAAAATGATGTCTTCAAATCCAGAGCTAGCCACTAGTGATCCTATCACCTAATGTAAGATTGGGAGAATTTATTTCTTTATGTTTAAAATACAGAACTCGTACTGTAGTTTCAGGTAAAGTGCTCAAATCAAATTGTACACTTTAAATACTAATCAAGAATATACATTACCTTAAAATTTTCCTTCATGAAGTGGAACATGCCAAGGTGAACACACACATTCCTGTATTGTTCTGTGTGAGTCTATATAAATTTATACGCATTCATTGCTGCACCAACATCAAGCGTTATGTTCAGGTATGGCATATTGGCTTCTTCCGACAAACCCATCAAAAATTCGAGATATTGGTTGATCGTCTTGATGTCGTTCACCTTTAAAGTAAGAGAGGTTAATAGTTACTTGAAATAAGTCCTATTCTTGCAACATTTTTAAGTACTTGCATGATACAGAACACATCATATTTGATCGTGGTCAAGTGACTTAAAATGCATGCAATTCTCAAAAAAATTATGAAAACTCTAAAATTAACGTTGGAAACGCTGATATAAGGTGAGATTAAGCTTACCTTTGAATTGATTGGCGGCAGATAGGTTTCCACTGTTTTTATTACTATCGGATCTGTTGTCTTACGAGCATTCGTCATGAAACCGCTGAATATTGGAATGACTTGATCAGAACTGCTGTCCCTCCGGGCAATTATCCAAGCAAAATAGAATGTCATAAACTTTCTGTCATCAAAAATAAATTGCTCTGGGACGATTTCCATGCTGCATGTTGGTGGTAGGATTTGATTGTCAACTTTTTTTGGTATAGGGTCTGGATCTTCACTGCTTATTCTACGTGAGGCTTTTCTTGGCACATGTATATGAAAATTGTGAGCCTCCAAAGTTCTCCCCTCTTGAAATGCCATCAAAGTTGTAATGTTAATTTCACCACCACCATACTGCTTGTCGGTAGCCAAATCAAAATTGTCAACCCAGAAATGACTAAGAACAATCTCGCCAGCTCTTGAGGGATGCAATGGAAGAAGTGAACTAATTTAGACTTTTCTAAACAGCTCTCAGCATTAGCAGTCAAGATCTCACTTGCCATTGTGTAACTAACACTATGTCCAAACTTACTTAGTATTTCAACAACATTCCTTTGACCAGTCAAGTTATGAACTCCGAGGCCAATCAGGAAGTGCTTTTCCATGATGGTTTTACCTTTGGTAACTCCATGAACAAGGTCTTGGCTGAAAGAATCTACCAAACGTGAAACATTGATGTTGTCACAACGCCCTGGTTGACTAAGAGCGGATTCAAAGAAATTTCTGACAGATTCGGGAGGTTTTCGTTCTTCAGTAGAGAGCTGCTCGATCGTTGGTGGCCATATTATTTCTTGAAGATTCTCTGCATGTGTGGTGATATCCTCTCTCAGATAGGAGGCAGCTGCCTGAATGGTGTCTTGACGATGGTGTAAACTGTCTTTGTTGATATCCTTACTGGCAATATATTCTGGCCCTGAGCAGTTTTGTGGTGATAAGATTATTATCCGCTCCTTAAACTTCGCATTGATTCGCTGTTTCAGTAGGTTTGCATATCTTTTTTTATCCACTTGCAACCCATACATGGAATGAATTTCGTTGAGAGAGACGACTCTACCTCTTTCGATAACCTCTGTTGTAATGAACTCACTGACAGCGTCAAAATCTCCCGTCTCATATGTTCCTTTCTTGTCGTAGGCAATTTCACCTCTTGTGAAGTTCCTATAGCAGTGACTGTGGTATCGGAATTCTTTTGCGATCAGGTCCTCGTCTTTAATTCTTCCATAAAGGCCAGGATGTTTATCTCTCGCGATACCTTTAATGGAACTTTCTGCTGTTCACATAACGATTGTTACCGGTACAACTTTCTTTCCCCCATGCTGGACACGATTTTCCCCACAGAATTGGCATTCATCTCCGTAAACAATCGTTGAAAGTGTTCCGGTACTTACTCTCACTGAAGACCGAATTTTGCTGCTGCTAGCTTGGCCGTCCTCGGTGGAAAGTTTAAACTTCTTGTTTCCAAGTATTCCAGTAAATCTGAAACAATAGGGGTGAAAATATGCAAAGTGTAAAAGGATTTAGGATATTATAATTAAGCTAGACAAACAACAAACAGCAACAGTTGAGCTGCGTCCTTTTGATAAACATACATGTATACAAAGGTTTTAATACCGTTTATAACAAGGCTCCAAATGAACGCCATGTTCCCCACTTTCGAAGTTTTCGGGTATTGTCGAGCATTGATCTGCATGTGAATGAGATCCTCCTATGTCAGTTCTTTTTCTCTTCGCCTGAACGATTTTTTCTTTATTTACATCGGACAACTCTTTGACAGTGCTGTACGAAGTTTGGTCTGCATAATGGACTACGCATACGAGGTTGGTTTCTTTCTCTCTTTTTCTATTAGTGCTCATTTTTTCTAAGCACAAAAAAGAACCTTTAACTCTTTACCGACAGACACCAATTTCACGCATTTACTGTCGCGCGTCTTTAAATTTGATTTTCTCTGCCAGTATTTACGCCCGGGAAAAAAGACAAACACCTTTGAAATCCTTACAATATGACCTTTGTAACGAGGGGTTTGTAGTGCCGTAAAAAACATTACAGAAACAAAAATATAGAACATTGAATCTAAAATTGTCCATTATTTACCTCATTTAATTTGGAAGAAAACTTGAATTTCTCAAAAAGTTTACGGAATTTCGCCGAGGTATATCAGAACATTTTAAAGCTCATATTCAGGGGCTTTCATGTAGAAAATTTCGTTTGTATAGGCCAAGTGGAAGTATTGTTTTTTAAATTTTCAATATTTGTGGACTTTGACTCCGCGTGCCCGTCACCTGATCATATTTGGCCATATCACGCGCCTCTCTTGTCTTAAGCACGTGGGAAGCATGCTGCAGGGGTAAGCGGCTATAAATCGCGTGTATTGTGTTGTAAATACATAAATCTAGCATATTTAACTAGAATTTTCATACTGAATCGAATGGTGTTATTTCCATTTCTATAGCATGCGCTGAACCGAAGTTATGAAGCAAAGTCATATGGCTATATATAGCCATGTAAACAATAGCGCCTGTCGTAGTGACTAATGAGTTAAACAAAACTGCCTTTGTTTCTAAATAAATAGCAGGTGTCATTAGCAACGAGTTGATAATGTAAGTGGGATCGATATCTAAAGCATGTATTGCCAAAAATAATCGAATTTAAATAGTACAACTCGTATAGCTTTCAGTGGCATGTTGCATAGCCGCCATGTTAAATTTTATATTAATTTTCGCCACTTTAATTAAAAAAGGTTTTTAAAAGCTTTAAAACATTCAGTTTGTCTTAAGTATATACAGGGTTTGTAAAAGGATAATGTTTTAAAAATAGATTTCACTATTTATACGTTATAAACAATAAAAAATAAAGTAAATACTCACGCTAGAACTTTACCTTTTCACATCAAAAACATCAAGTCACTGATCTATAAATAAAACTGGAGCAAGTGCTATTTTCTTTTTTAAGCCAATCATGTCAATGAAATAGAATCAAAATTGTCGAAAATATTGAAACAAGATGTACTTATTTGATTTGCATAAAAAACATCAAATATGCCGAGGGAAAACAAAGGAAATCATAATTTTTTGGTGGAAAACCCCTAAAATGAACGTTGTCACCCCCCTGAAAGGCCATGTCTCCATGGTAACGGACGCACAAAGCTCAACTATGTTTTTCAACCTTTTGTGAAGTCTTTCTAGTCTCAAAACATGCATCACTGAACAATTTGTAACCTTTAAATACAGTCTACCGAGTACTTATTGATTCTTTTGATTAAATTAATTTTTTCATACCCATGGCTTTACCCCCCCTGTTCCGAGTGAATGCCACCTCCCCAGACTGAAAACCATCACAATTCTTACACTATAGGCATTGGTCTTTCAGAAAATCACAATAAGAATTTCTGCCTAAAAAGTTCCAAAAATGTCAAAATTTGCCTGTACTAAGCTTGCAGCAGCAAGACAGCATCAACAAGAGTGCCTGTATGTTGAAGTTGGCTGTCACTACACTGGCTATGGGCACTGATGCCAAAGACAACTCATAGCAGATCACGAAACCAACTGTGACTATGCAGATGCAGTATGTCATCAATGTGGACAGCAAGGGCTCCGAAGAATGGATGTGGATGGGCACATTTCTTTCTCCTGTGCTAGAACAAATATCGATTGTCCACTATCGTGCCATTCTAGTATAGAAAGGTAAAAGTAATGATGTCGCATTGAAGATCAGGAGCAACGGTGTAGCTAGACAGTTATAGTATAAAGTTAGAGAAAATTAAGAGCCAGTAGCCTCTTTAATTCAGTGTGATTTATCATTGAACATTGAGTAAGTTTGACTGCATTTTCGTTTTAGAGGGTTTCTAACATATCATATATCAGGGCAGTACTCAAATGGTATGGTGTCATGTCAAATTCCCGGGTTCAACACATAGATGAGACGAAGAGACCGGTCAGACCACATGACAGCGAGTGTGGCTGAGCATTTGAATTGCTACAAACATCATATTTCAGACCACAGACAGCACAGGTGAGTAAACTATTTAGTTTGCATATTTAATTTAAGGGATTTAACAATTGTGTTGGGCTGATATTTTTGGCACCACATTCTCTATTGAAACTGGTTTCCAACCTTGTACTTAAGTCGCAGCTAGCCCTTGGTACGAGTTTGGAAACCAGTTCTATAATCATAGATTTATTTAATATGAACATCTGTAAATCAGGGAGTAAGTCTATGCAAAGTCTATACTGATCAAGATATGATGCTTTTGAACTATAAACAGAAGTCACTTTCTTTTTTGTTTAAGTGATTGCTTTTTATACCTGCAACGACAGGTAAGAAAATTGTTTGAGCATGCCCGAAAACTGCTCGGATTTTCAGGGAAGATATGCGTACTTGCACTTGCTTGGTTTAAAAAACAAACAACATAAACGAAGGTCATTGGCGCACAGTATTACTCAAAAACCAAATATTTATACTTTGTTCTGGACAACAAACGCATGTACTGCAAATTTCAAGTAATATCCATCAATATTACGACTCACTGCTTTAGAGTACTTACAGTTTTCCCACTAATTCTCTGCATTGTTGCAATGTCATCTGCAATATGTTGCATGCAGAAAAAAGTGAACATTAAATAACAGCATCTCCTTCAACAAAATTACTTTAACTAAAATAAATAAATTGACAACTTTAACATTATCCTTTCATTTTCAGCAAGAAAAAGTTCCTGGATTTGTTCATGTGTTTAAGTGGACAATCCAGAATTTTCAAAATGAGTTTGGAGATGAAAGGGATCTAATTAATACCATCTCATTAAGAAGTCCACCCATACGTATTGACAACAGGATATTCTCCTGCACAGTCCTTGAAACTCCCGAAATTTCAGGTCGGCAACAAATTGCCGACCTAAAAGCGATAATTATCAATCTAGGTCAGCAAATATTTTCAACAAATACCCAAATGAAAATTTATTGGCTTGCTGCAAATACGTGTATTTATAAATAGCAATTAATTGCAATCAATGCCAATAGCAAACAAAACAACTAACAAAATGTATGAACTCCAATCGAACAGTGAATGTTGTGACAGACTGTACACTACTTTATTACCATATACGTTCGCTTAAATCTTGAAGCTCGACGATTTTAACACTATGTTTACTTTTTAAAAGATGCGTTTGCGGACAAACTGCCGAGATGTATTTGATAGTAAGTCGGCAAAATTTTGCCAACCCAAATCTACACATATCGCGTTGCAGGTCGGCATTGCCGAATGCCGACCTGAGTTTCAAGGACTGCCTGCATATATGTCGTGCAACAGAAATGACAACAGCAGCAGAAATGGAAGATCCCATGGAATTTATTTGGAGATTTGGGAAGGCAGTGTACCTGTGTTTGTTTCAGGATGGTATGTGCCAGTATTACACTGTCTATTGCATTGCACTGATTTCTCTCTCATTCTCATTACATCAAATCCCAAATGTGTCCAAATGGTTAACTATATACTTAATCTGGTCGAATCAGGTTTATATATTCGGTAAAATTCAGAGGCTATACTTTGCCCTTTTCTTTCATAGCTTCACAGTGTTTTCACAACAAGGAGAAGTTTCGCTAACTTCGATCCTGCCACAAGCGACATTTTTGGACAGCACTTCCACACGGACATGTGGATTTGTCAACTTTGCACAGGACTCCGGTGTTTCGAATGATTGGACAAATGAAGACTGCTCTGTGGAGATTCACATGTCTATTCAATTATGTTCCTAAATATGTAAATATAGTGAGAAATATATAACTATACGTTGTTAATTTGCAATATAAATAAGAAACTCAATTTTATTATTTTGCGTTTGGCCAACATTCTGATTGATTTTGTCATGTTTCCTAGTCCCTGAGCCCATGTGGAGCACTCACAAATAGTTTTGAATTAACTGTAAATTCCCTAAGCCGTAAAGACATATATTTTGTATATAGATTTGAGTACGAGTTCGACTAGAACTACGTCTACGATCGGTTCGTTACCGCGAACTTTTAGGCAACCTTAATGCAATTAGCTGTATAAATATTATTATATGTGTCACTGTTTTAAGTGTTATCCGTTGTCGCACAGACCAGCTGACATGTGATGAAAGATTTTTTCCTAATATTTTTGAATTTGGGACAATTTTTTTGTTATATGTTTTTCATCGATTAATACTCACACTCGCAGTGAGTTTATTGAACTGATTAGTAATTAGTATGCTCTAAGTGTGAGTAATTAGTGCATCAGTACTGATGTTATAATAAAGGTTCCTTTTGTTTGTTTATCTTTTTTGAATGCTCATGCATAGTCTGTTCTACATTTGTCCCACAAAAAACCCAAAAACTTGATTAATGGACCTTAAACCTTGTAACTAAAATTTTGATCTAGACAAGTCTGGACAAAAATGTCACCACAGCTTGAAAGAGCATCACAAAATTAGTAATATTCCGAAGTTTCATTGCGAAAATGTTGTAAAATGCGGATAATGTAGACCTGCAGAAATTTGCAATTTTCAGTAATTTTGTATTACAAACGGGAAATTGATACCCCAACACCCGATTGGGTTTATGGCAGCAAAACCTAGTTTCAGGCAAGCATGTGGGCAGGCTGATCGTATTTTGCGCCCTCGTGGTCAAGGTGGTGTGAAATTTATTGTCAAAATAAGCAAAAATTATAACCTGTGCCATGCAAATTTAAATACAACTGTTAAAGGTTTATGATTTCATTGTTTAAATACTTTTAACCACTCTTAGCAAGATTCAAGTTTATATTAAAGTTTTATAATATTCCATAGCAGTTTAATACTATGTGTATGCCTTCCATCTCAACGAACGATCTAAAACTATGAATTATACATGAAGACATTACTTCCCACACACATTATTGGCTTGAGTGTTGCATCTCCTGAGCTGCATTTACTGGGCGGTGTGCTAAATAGAACACTGTAAATAATTAATCTTATTTTTGTGTTAATCTGGCTGGGGGTAAATGCTCAGAACTAATACTGGTAATGCTTAGAACTTAGCATAGGGGTGTGTTATAGCCCTTTCGTAATCATTATCTATATATAACTGAGTCTGTTCAAGATATACCTTAGGTATTTCCTCTCTCTGTCAGCTTAATATATAATACACCACAGCTTATCAATTGTAATAACCGACTTTATCTCCCCGAAGTCTGAGGGCAACAAAGAAGGCATAAAATTCCTATTTGCATCAAATGATTCGAAACTATGTATTATACATGAAGACATTACTTCCCACACACATTATTGGCTTAAGTGTTGCATCCCCTGAGCTCCTTTACTGGGCGGTGTACTAAATAGAACACTGTAAATAATTCATCTTGTAGCCAGCTGGATAATTGGGGGGCTGATATTCATACATTCGTGTTGTTCGTTATTAATTTCTTTTGAAATCGATTGTTTTTATGGTCTGTGAATACAAATATATGAATATCAGCGCCCCTAATTATCGAGCTGGCTACGGCACTGCTCGAAGACTTTTTAACCCGCAGTATCAGGATAATTTTGTGCACATTTTGTATTGTAAATATCATTATAACATTGCTTTTAATTTAAAAGTTTATATTGCATGTTTTCATTGTTAAATACAACCTAATTTCATTTCATCATATAAAATGAGTTGTACTTTGTTTTCAATTGTAAATTTGGTTTATAGTTGATTCACATTTTAAAATAGAAATTACAACTTGATATCAGATTTTATTTAATTTTAATTTTCTTACTTGGGTATTAACATGCCATGCAAGAAAAAAATATGAAAACCTTCATGTGGCCCATCAATATCATTATCAAGAATACAAATTTATTACCCATAATCCTTTGCGAATTGCAAAAATCATGTCAAATTTTCAGTTCATGTGACAAGTGACTGTCGTGTTCAATGGCATATAATTTTGATTGGGAAAACAACGAAAATTTGAAAACAGATCTTGATAAGTACGTCCGCGAAAACTTGAAAAAAGGTGAAATCCTTGACTTCGTTAAACACGACTATCCTGATTATCCATGGAGTATGGCAACACTAAGTCGACGACTTGGTCACTTTGGGATCAAGTATATCAATTATGAAACTCCATTACAAGATGTAACCGAAGCAGTTTTGAAAGAACTGGAAGGTCCTGGAAGATGTTCTAGGATACTGAGCCTTAAATCAAAAGCTGAAAACTCAGCACAACATCAAAGTTCCACGGCATTTAGTGTATAACGTGCTGACGGATATGGATCCCGAAGGCCTGGAAGCCAGAGGTGTCAACAAGAAAATTAAAAAGCAGAAAGTCCCATTTTGATCCGAAGGGCCGTTATGGCTAGTTTCATTAGATGGGCAGACAAATTATGCGGGTATCAAAACTGGACATTTCCTCTGTGTATCTACGGCTGTCTAGATACATTCAGCCGAAAGATATATTTATTCATGTCCCATTCCAACTCTGATCCCATGATTGTTGGCAAGAAGTACCTGGAATATTTAACCGAGCATCGTATTATACCTAGATTTCTTTGACTTGACAAAGGAACAGAAACGGGTAAAATGTCGACGCTGCACGCCTTTCTCGTGGATAAAGCTGAGATAATGGACAATGCTGTGGATTCTATTATATACGGTCCTTCCACATCGAATAAAACTGAGCGGTGGTGGACTGACATAACGAATGGTTTGAGCGATATTTTAAAGAGCATTTGGCTTACTTACTGCAACAAAGATACTGCGATCTGCACAATGCTCATCACAGCCAGTTAATTAACATACGTCTTCACCCCAGTTATCCAGAGAGAATGCGACAGTTTTGTCAGTAACTGTGGAACACGCATCGTATTCGAGAACAGAAGAATCTTTTGCTGCCAACAGGGGTACCCAATCATATGTTTTCTTTTCCACAACATGGAGGCGTGCAATGCGGAATTCCAATTTCTTCAGAGCATTTAAGAGAAGCAGCCGACGTCTCTGGTTTACTTGCTTCAGTAGAACGAAACGAGAGACTTCTGCCAACTCCAGATAAACTGAAATCAAATAAAGTAACAGAAGCGTACATTTATCTGAAGCAAAGTCTGCAATTGTAACATTACCCTGCTTGTATATTGTAACATTACCCTCATGCTTGTGTTTACATTTCATTACTAAATACTGTATTGTACGTTGCCATTTATAGTTGTTAGTTGTGCAGAACAATGGGTTGGAATGTGATTGTTGACACAAATTTAGTCGAAATATTAACCTATTTTGGTATGAAAGTTTTATATTAAACCCTAATCTTTTGTATCATTCGGAGGATTTACTAATTTTCCAGCTCTCATTAAATCACTTATTGATGACTTCAGGTAGACGGTAGGAGTTATCCAGACATTTCCCTCGCATGGCTGATTTGTGCTTGGGGATATCGCTGGCGTTGATTTTGTTTGACGTCCGACGTTCAAACCGGTATGATCGCTTACCTCACAAGACTCAATTGGCTGTAAAAAAATGTATGAAAAACACTTCGCTTTAATTTGTTCAATTTTTGTACAGGATGGATGCTAAAATATCACACCCTGAGGTGTTTTGTAAAATTGCTCGCATGCATCCTTGATATTTTCAATAGAAAGTTCATCATATTCACTAAAAGGCACGAAGTCTCTGGTATCAAGGGGGTCATATTTCTTTAGTCACCCCGAAGCTGTCGAAGACATGCGTTGTACCAATATATCGCTGGGAGTATTTCCCATCGATCACTTTCCATTCTTATCTCCTCCAGTTCGTTTAAGACCCACTCTTTGTTCAAAGTCCTCCCATGTCGTTTTATTATTAGCGTTTCTACGACGTTTCATTTCTCACTAATAATCTTATTTACTGTATTTAAATATATCAGAAAAGGACAAAATTTCAGAATTAACATTCCACACACGTGCCAACTGAATTCGCGGCAAATAATACAATAAATAAACAGCAAATAATACAATTAATAAATTTCAAGTAATAAATTTACGTGATAACTTTAATAAATTTACAGAATAAAGTTAATAAATTTACTGTAGTAATAAATTACATAGTATTTCCACAAACAATAGTATTATATGTTTTATCGTCCTGCAAACCTACAAAGAACTCACTGACACATCCAACAGTCTGCATTTATAGTCTAAATCATTCTGACCATTTTTGACTTTAGTTTGAATAGCTTTGACTGAATAAGTGCCTTAAATATTAGCCAGCTTCGCAAAAGCAATGTGCCAACATATTAGCGAAGCCCTGAAACAATGTTCAATGTCTGAAGTCCGGAGTCTGAAGTCCCTTTACGGTTTCCATACCTTTCTGTTTACTGCTGTAATGAAAGACATGGTACATTAACCTTATAGCTTTTTATACAAACATCTTCCTTTAATATTACAACAATATTACAATCATGGCCCAACATGTTGGATTAACAAAATTTAACAGCAAATTTGGTAAGACATCTTACATTCTACAATAGTCGTATGCACATATTGATATTTACTTTATTGTGATACAACAGGATATTTTTTACTGTTACACTTTCTACATGAATCTCCATTTTTATGTTCCATAAGTCTACACCTACACTTGTTCACATTTGTATAAATACAAGTGGTCTTCTATCCTCAGCTTTATCAAATACAACACTTTTTCACAGGCAAACATTGTGCCAACAACCCGAGGCCATCCACTATCATATTTCCACTTAATATGCATTGAAATCAGATTTTGTGTGAACAAAATTATGTGATCTGTGTTGCTTCAAAATACCACGGCACAAATTTCGAAGACATGTCTCCATAAAGGTGGAGTTACGAGCAACAAAATTGCTGCAACTTGTGAAATGTATATATTTTTGTATTTATTTTGCAGTTGGAGAATGGTTTCAAAAACCAGACAATCAAATATAGAAAAGCAACACTCCCTCCAAATTCCCCTCGCAGATAATCAAAGATGTTGACATGTGCAATACTGAATAAGAGTCATGTGAAACCCACACAGAATGGCAGCATGTTCTCAGTTCATTTGTGCAACAATGAGAAATCTTCAACAATTAGAGCTGTTTCAATGAAGACATCTACCCTAAGCTTGATTTGAACAACACCTACGAGTTGGAGTCTTCGAGGTAAAGAAATCGTTTGGGGACCAAAACAAACTCAGAACTAGTGCTTGACCATGAAACTAAAATTACAATGGCTGCATCCCAAGTTCAAATAGAACATGGCAGCTATACTATTTTGCAGATTTTGAGGAGAAATGGGCAACTACAGATTTTTTAATGTGAAATGGACCTTTTCAGAAACCAAAATAAAAAAGAACTGTTTGTGTTGGGGATATGACGGGCAGATGGAATTGAATCTTTGGTGAGAACAGGCTGATGTCATCTGCTTTAAAAATGGAGATGTTCTACATTATGTTTGGAAAATGTTGTCGTTTCTAAATTCAATGGTCAGCGGAATCTAACAACAGCGTTTGAAACATTAATAATGGCCATTCGATGAAGAAATGGCAGTAGCAAGATTGGCAAAGCGCCCACATGCCACATGTAATGTCATATCCACAGAGGCATCCATGTCATGAAATTTATTGCAACATATTCATGCTTAACCTGTTGGAAAGCAATCAACTTTGATGATATCAATATCAGGAATGCATTGATAGCCTGTCCTACATGCTCCTGCATGTTTTTCAAAACCACACTACAACCTGCCCACAAATGTATGGTTTTGTTGAGCAATAACCAGTGGTTCACTGCACATACCAAGGTAAGAATGATTAAATACCAGAAGATACTATTGCAAGGAAACTGCTGCCTCACCCCCAAGAGATTAAAGGCAGCATGCACAATTAAATTGAATTCCCAAAGGCATAATAACACACAAGAGTGATTTTTAAAGGGGACTTTTTTCTGGACACAATGTACATATATGGTCACCCATTGGGCTCATAGCAAAACAATAGCATATTTCTACTATTTTGAACAAAAATAAACATTTTTTAAAAAAATAAAAAATCAGAAACAAAAAAAAATATTTAAGAAGATTTTCTTTGCGCATTGAAAAGTGTAATATTCCTTATACTTACCATAATATAAATTAGGATTCATTATCTATGACAATGTTTTGTCAACGTTTGTATACAGTTCCTATATAATATTAGCTTCATTGTTGTGTATGTATGGTTAATTCAAAACAGGTTGTCTTTTGCAAACCTTAAAGTCTAAACCTTAAACTCTAAGCGTGCAGAGCATAATGAGTGCATAATTTAATCAGTTTAGAAATCATATACGCAGAGGTAAATAATATCATGACAGGCAAGTAAAAGTTTCCTCTTGGTTGTCCAAACAGGCAAGTTGCTTTGCCACAAAAAGCTGGCCAGCTTTCGATCAGTTTATATTATTATAGATTTTTTGTCCAATAAAAATATGATTACTCGGTTTTTACCTGGATTCTCATTTACACAAATATTCACAACGAAACAATGAACTCTGTCACTGATTTAATAAAATATCTTTTATATTCATCGATTTCGATTCAAGTAAAAGCCGTTTTCGTAATTTTCATGCATGTGGTTTTTCAAATGTGCGCCCACAGTTCCACTAACCGTAAGGCGTTACGAAGCACTTCATGTAAAGGAATTGTCGTAAATATTGTCACAAAACAAACAGTAAAAAATTTACTATTGCAATGGACAGTGGATAGATATCTAACCAATTTTAAAGGCTGTTCGACGACATTGGCTCAAGCTGGCAAATCATCTGCATCAAATTCATCTCAGAAAACATCTACTCAGAAAAATAAAGAGTACGATATTAAAAAACGATCGTGACAGTTCGTTGACTCTTAGAAAAAAGAGTTTCCATGGGCAACTGAAGTAAAGCGAGATGGACAAAACTATATTATTTGTTCCATTTGTAGTGAATACTCAAATGTGAAGGAAAACCGAAGTGATTTAGATCATAAAAACAATTCGTTTTTATATGGATGTAGTTTCTTCAGGAAAACATCGCTGGAATCGCACACAAAAAGCATCCAACACGTTAATTTTGCAAGACAGAAAAAGAACGAACTTAGTGGAGAACCCTTTCGGAATAAAATTTTGATGGCCTTCAGTGAAACGGAAAAATCGTCCCTAATTACTCTCTTTAGAAATGCTTTTAAGCCATGGACAGACTACGAATTTTTATGTGAACTTGACATTGTAAAAGGATTAGACATTGGCAAAACCTACCTGAACCCGGAAAAGTGGAATGCAGTTTGGCCATGCAATTTGTGTGAATATTCTAGATGAAATGTCTCAAGATTTCTTGAAGGCTAACTTTTTTAGTATAATCATGGATGAAGCTACAGATGTCCGCCATGGTGAGCAGGTGATTTTGTATGTGAGATTTTCAAAGTATGGCCAAATAAAAACAAAATTTTGTGGGATCTTCACTGTCACCAGAACCAATGCTTGTCAAATTACTGATGGCGTTCTTAAGAGTCTAAAGGATAGATTAGGTTGGAAAAATGATGAAAATTATAGTAGTGAAGATGATAATTACAATTTTTTTACAATTTTATTAAAAATAGAAAAAATACAAAAGTAAATATTAAATAACCCACCCGCATTTAGCAAAGCTATTCTAGGTGGGGGATTATACACACAACAGAGTAATATTAAGATTTATTTATTTTGGTTATGGAAAAATATATATATAGTGGTTTTGTTGTTTTTAGTTGATAAATATTATGTATTACCATTAGGCACTAACGTGTAATATAATTATTCCATAAAAATATTTCAGGCTATTTAGAAATATTTCAGGCTAGGCTAAATTCAAATTATGAATTTTCAAATCATAATTTGTTATTATAAATTAAGAAACCATCAAAGCTGTCTGCATAATATAGGCAAGATCAACATAATCATCGCAAGTATTTAAAATTTCTAGCAACATTCGCTTACAATTCTTTTTAAATGTTGATTTACTCAAATTACGAATTGATAGAGGTAAACAGTTCCAAATTTTCACGCCCATTGTTGATAGTGATTTTGAAGTTATATTAAGTCTAGCTCTGGGTTGATACAAATTTTTACGAGCTGCTGCTCTTGTGTTATAACTGTGTACATCACAAACATTCGTAAATAAGGTAGTAATGTGTAAGGGAGATTTTCCATTAACAATATCATGCATAAAGCATGCGGTATTGTAAAAATAAAGAAAACTCATTGGCAATATTTCGAAATTGTAAAATAAAGGTATTGCATGGTCTTGATAATTAGCAAAGTTCATTATACGAATAACCTTTTTTTGAAGAATTAGTAAACAATTTAATACTGATTTATTTGCTTGACCCCAAACAGAAATACCATATGTCAAGTATGGATTTATTAAACCTGAATAAATTCTTAATAATGTGTGCTTAGGAACAAAATGTCTCAATCTTGTAATGATACGACTTATCAATTATGCGACTAATCTTGAGGGAAATATAATCAATATGTGACTTCCACGTAAGATTAGAATCTATAAGTATACCCAGATATTTAACGGCATCTTTTCTTTCCAAAGTTAGAGTCTTTTTTGTCTGTTCGTCAAATATTTGAATATTTGGAACATAGTTTAATCTCTTTTGTTTATTACAAAATATAACAAAATTTGATTTTTCAGTATTCCAGGTAAGTTTGTTGGCTCTCAACCACAGACATACATTATGTAACTCATCATTAATGACTTGCTCAAGGGTATGGATCAGGGGTGGAAAAAGTATCGGAACCTGGGAACCTAGTTCCCAGAAATTTTTTTGAGTTGAGAGTTTTGCAGAAAATTTTCCAGAAAATATTTCAACATTTTGAGATAACCCTGTTTACTCAACTTACAACTATTCTACTTTATTTACACTGTACACGCTAACATCAGCAGCTTTTAAATATTTGACAGAAATTAATTCTTTTACCCACCCCTGTCATCACAATTACTGGTAAAATGGTAAATATATGCTCTGCAAAGTCTCCAATAAAATGCAAATTAAATAGTAAACAAATAAAAGTGATGGAATAAATAAGATGATAGGACACTTAGTTAAGTGTTAGATCCTTACTATGATGTTTGTGATGTCATTCTGAGTGTGCATCCACACCGGGCAAGCTTGAAAAATATGCCTGGCCACGGTGGGAATCGAACCTACGACCTTTGGAATACTAGCTCAATGCTCTGCCAGCTGAGCTACACGGTCAGGTCGGTTTGAGTATGTGATATTTCGGAACTGAGTTTAGTTCCTTCGACATCAATGTAATCTAGTATTCCAAAGGTCGTATAAGTTTGATTCCCACCATGGCCAGGCATATTTTTCAAGTTTGCCTGGTGTGGATATACACTCAGAGTAACATCACAAACATCATATTCACCTTATTACATAACACCAACACAGAAAAAATCAAGATCCTTACTAGTTGGTCATAACTCATAACTGTGGTATATAACAGACAACTATTGTGATGTACAAGCATACGAAAACCAGCCTAAAGCCCATTATTACTAAAGTACAAATAATACAATAACTATGCATTTGTTTTGTTATTTTTGCAATTGTAACATTACAAATTTTACAGAAAATTTCTAGCCTTTGACCCAGGTTCCCAGAAAGAAAAAATTTTTTTCCACCCCTGGTATGAATATTTCTATGCAAATATAAAATACTTGTATCATCAGCAAATTGATAAAAATTTAGCTTTTCTGTCGAAACACAAATATCTTAATGTACAACAGAAATAATAAAGGCCCAAGAACAGAACCCTGTGGAACACCATACAAACAACTTTCCTCATTTGAATCAATATTTGCCATTGTAGTTACTTGAGTTCGTCCATTTAAATATGAAGAAAACCAATCATAAACCGTTCCCCTAATTCCATAATAATACAATTTAGACAATAAGATTTTGTGATCAACTGTATCAAATGCTTTCTTCAAATCAATAAAGATTCCACAGGTTATCTCTTTATTGTCCATATTTTTATAGATTTTATTCACAATATAATTTATTGCATGCTGAGTTGAATATTGCTTTCGAAAACCATACTGTGAAGACAGCACATTATGTTTGTCCATAAACGATATCAACCTACTATACATAATTTTCTCAAAAATTCGATTAAATATTGACAACAAAGATATTGGCCTGTAACTATCAGGATCAGTTTCATCACCAGATTTAAATACCGGAACAATTTTGGCAATTTTTAGCTTTGATGGAAATATACCATTCTGTATGGACATGTTAATCATAGTGGCGAGGGAATTATTTCCCGGGATTTGATTTATTTGATTCTCAACCTCAATGGAAGTCACATCATAAAAAAAGGAACTTTCCCTAATAGAATTCTTTAGATAAGATGAAAATGAGTTATCTGTTGAGCTAAATTTACTTGACAAATTTTGACCAATAGTTGCAAAATGCTTATTTAAAACATTGGTCACCTCAGTGGGTTCAGATGTTGTGGAACTGGAATTCTTGATGATAGTAACTGTCTTAGATATCTTTTTTTTGTTTGATATTAAACTATTAATACATTTCCATGTTTGTTTCATGTTATAAAAATTGTTTTCAAAATAGGAACAATAATATAATGATTTACTAGCATGTGATAAACAAGAGATCATATTCCTATAATATTTATATTTATCGCGATCACCAACATGGAAATAATTATTTTTTTTACAAATAGAATTTTGTAATCCCTGAGTAATCCAAGGCTTTGATAATTGCTTTTCTTTACGTTTTGATAAGAATTCGAGCATGTTTGTTTATTAGCTTATTGACTTTATTATAAAACATATTGAAGACAAGATTACAATCCGAAGACTGCTGAGATATATTTTGTAAATTCTAATTCTCTAATTCAAACAAAAAGTTATTTTTATTAAATTTGGAATAATCTCGGACTTGTTTGATTTTGACTGTGGTTCTTGTTAATGATGCACACCTGCAAAAAATGATCACTTATATCTGAAACTATATTGCCACAAGTAAAATTATATTCAAAATTATTTTAAAAAATCAATTAAAGTAGCTGAATCGCCATACATTCTGGTAGGTTTTGTGATAGTTGGGAAATAGGCATATGTATGTACGGAATTTAGAAATTCCTTGCTGTATTTACAAGTTTCATACTTTAACCCATCGAGTGGTGATGCACCCTGATGCAGCCTACTTTAGTATTTTACTGTCTAACGCCAGACGATTTTACTCCTCAAGGGGAGAGCACTGGCGCTTAATGGGTTAACCCATTGAGTGACGATGCACCCTGATGCAGCCTACTTTAGTATTTTACTCTGTCTAACGCCAGAGTATTTTACTCTGTCTAACTCCAGACGATTTTACTTGTCAAGGGGAGAGCGCTGGCACTTAATGGGTTAACTGGCCTATCTGCCCATCTGTCTAGTTAACTGGCCTATCTGCCCATCTGTCTAGTTAACCCATTGAGTGGCGATGCACCCTGATGCAGCCTACTTTAGTATTCTACTCTGTCTAATGCCAGATGATTTTACTCGTCAAGGGGAGAGCGCTGGTGCTTAATGGGTTAACTGGCCTATCTGCCCGTCCCTTGAGTGGCGATGCACCCTGATGCAGCCTACTTTAGTATTCTACTCTGTCTAATGCCAGATGATTTTACTCGTCAAGGGGAGAGCGCTGGTGCTTAATGGGTTAACTGGCCTATCTGCCCGTCCATTGAGTGGCGATGCACCCTGACGCAGCCTACTTTAGTATTTTACTCTGTCTAATGCCAGACGATTTTACTCGTCAAGGGGAGAGCGCTGGCGCTTAATGGGTTAAAAGATCAATGTTGAAATCACCCAGAATGCAGACAGTCTTACGTCGTTTACTAAAATTGTATAGAGTTTCGTTTAGATATTCTTGAAATTTTGTTGGATCATTATGTTGTCAGTAAACAACACTATACTCTCCTTATGGTCAAAAAATATTTCAACCCAAACTACTTGGTAATAAATATTAGATACCTTTTCCAAAACAGAATATCTACAATTTTCTCGTATATATATACCCACGCCTCTGGCAGAAAGTGGTGTAGGTACATACTCAAATAAATAGCCTGGAACATTAGGATTAAAATTAAGTGGCTTACCCTTAACAATTCTAGTTTCAGTTACTGCAATAGCAGTATATTGAAAATTAATTTCACTTAACAAATGATTTTGGAGAGCCTCAAGGTTCTTTTTTAAACTGCGTACATTATTATGCAAGAACGATAATGAAACATTATTAGGTGTATGTACTCCGTTTTTACAAATATCGAAAGAGTGTGGCGAATAATAGGGGCATTCTATATATTTTACATTATGCAAATTAAGGTCAGGGGTTTATCTCATCAAATGTTGCATTTAGTTTGAACAAATTAAGTACTATTTAAAGCACGCGTAGGAGTGTTTTATCACATATAAAACACGACGCGTAGCAGAGTGTTTTATATGTGATAAAACACGACTACAGGTGCTTTAAATAGCTTAAAAAACGACTCGTCTTATACGAGTTCATTGGCGAAGTAATTTTTAAAATAAACTTTGTCTAAACCGAGAAAATCAAAGCTAAAGTTTATGTAAATTAACGTGATTTTTTATCACATATAAAACCACGACACGCTTATGATTTTTCTTTGTGTTTTGCTCCTGAATTATTAATGAGTTTTTTAAGATCTAATAAACATGGCTGGTTTTTTAAACTGTTTCTAGATAGTAAACTATTCGTATTAGTAAATCCTAAATCATTGTCTGGTATATTTTCATTGTAAAATGGTAAACATGAAAGCAGATATCGATTTTCCTTACGATTCTGCTTATTGTTATCATGATTAGAAGACATTGAGTACTTTTTAGACATCATTAATAAACATTATATTAATGTGCATATCAACTTATCTTGCCATTGTGTAGATTGATTTATTTTGATTCAGCTAATTGTCGTAGGACATTCAGTGTCGTCACCTTGATTGGACCAGATAAAGCTGTCTTCCTTAGATAAACTACACAGTTTTTTGGCCAACAATACTCATAGTTATGGGTTACTTTGAATTTTTTTGATTCGTGTAAAATATGTTGTTGTTTAGGTGTAAGGTGGTCGAACAGCATTATTCTATGGGCTGTTGTTTTTGACGATAATGAGAAACCAAGGTCCGCTGAAGTTAAGTTTCTTGTTTGTGATCTCGCTTGCATGATGGATTCCTTCGCCAGACATCTTACAAATTTGCATATAATTGGCTTCAGCTCATTAGATCTTTGAGAATTTCGTACAGGGACTCCTGTGAGCTATATCAATGTCTGAAAGTGATATTTCAACTCCCATCGCATTGAATAGTTTCACACATATATCTGATGTTTGTTTTGATGTTTCATTACTTGATTCTTCGTGCATACCCAATTATTTTTACATTATACTGGTAGATATAGCTTTCCAAATTGTCTAACGCCACTTCGATACGTTCTGCTTGAATAGATATTTCACTTAGCCTTGAATTTAAATGCTGTAATTCTTTTTTATTATCGTTGTTTGATACCAGCAGTTCATCATACTTATCGCTAAGGAACTGCACTGAGTTATCCTTGTCTCGTTCTTCCTCGGTGGCTTCGATCGCCTTCGATTTACCATTTGTCTTTGAGTCAACTGCTCACCCAATTTGTTAAAATCCTTCGTCAATTTCTCGATTTGATTCTTCAGATCCTCATTTCCTTTTCTTAGGGCTTTTACTTCAGCCATTATAAAACTAAATAGCTATATAAATAGCTATATTATCTTGAAATATTCTGATAACGGAGCTCAAAAAGCACGTCTTACTCCCATTAGTGCCGGTGAAAGCATGTCTTACTCCCATTAGTGCCGGTGACGACTCCGAGTTTGAAAACATTTCAGACAATCCTGACATGTCAATGGACAGTGATAGTGGCACAGATGAATAAGTTGATTCCCTTGAAAATTCAGATGTAGAACTTGGTGTGGTTGATGAAGAAGCTGTTTCCGCTGCTAGAGTTAGCCAAGGTAACCAACAACAAGAGACATCCGCTGTGAAACAACCTTTACTAGAAATACATGCATGCAGCAACCCCTCACCTTTTTTAACAGATGAAGTATAGAAATTCCATTCAACATGAAGTACTCCATGTTCAAAATAATTATAGTCGCTATGCCGCTATGATAACATGAAAATAATATAATTTTTTACTAAAAGAATCATTGATTTTCATAATTTGTTATTAAAAGGAATGTAGTTTTACGTTATGGGCTTTCAATTGGCTAAAAGTTAATGTAAAATGAATAAACGGTAAAGCGTTTTGAAACTTTGCTGTGGAACTGCAGGGGAAACTGAAACACTCGTTTACTCGGCAGTTTGCTCGACAGTAAAATATATTTGCTTTATATAAGCAAAAGCTAGTTTTTTAATTATATTTTGGTGAAGCCATATTTGCTGTAGATAACAGACCATTATAAACACGCATAAAAACACGATACGCTGTATTAATTGCCCCAAATAAACAATATTTAAAATCATGTAGTACATTTTCATGTAAATACCAGCTTGCATAAAAATATATTATTTATTGAGTTGAACAGGCGGTACAAAAATTTCGCCAGTAAATACAAAGCAAATACGGTATGAAATTTTAATACTGAAATGTTTACAACACTTACCCAAGATAGCCAAGAGTCCAAGACAACAATTAAATTTTATATTGAAACCATCTGGTTCGTCTTCAACAAAATTCGTGTTTATCAGTTTATGCATGCCTTTCACACTTTGTTTCACGGTTGACAGTCACTAATTCATGAAACTGCAGGCTTGTTTCCAGTTAATAGCGAAATACATCGTAAAAATATATTGTAAAAGAACAAAATACATCTTTGCAAAATGAAAAACAATTTTTGATGGTGCAGGTGTACAGGCTCTCCTCACAAAAGAAGTTAATTGTCACATAGTATACATCTGGTGCATTTCCCACCAGTTGGAGCTATCTTTAAAAGACGCACTTAAACAAAGATGCAAACAATTTAATGATTTGAATGATTTCCTAAAGTCGTTGTATCTGTTTCACAAAAACTCAAACGTTGTACACGCAGCTTTTCGGAATGCAGTTAAAGTGAAAAACAGGAAGGGTGGAACATCAGTGGTCGAGTAGATGGAACCCGTTGGATAGCCCACACGACAAATGCAGTGACAAATCTGCTAAACACAGTGGATTGCCACCAAGATTGCCTAGGAGCTTTGAAGAGTGCTGAAAAATTCAGTGCTTCGTAGAAAGATAAGGCAACATATTTTGAGAAAAGACTTCTACAAACGGCATTTGTTGAATTCGTGATCTTTATGCTTGATGTCTTGAAAGCCATTTCAAGATTTTCTCTGTTTTCACAGACCAGAAGTATTCCTTTCCCTGCAGTCCAGTCATCACTGGAAAAATGTGTAGACCGACTGAAGTTGCTGAAACAGGATACCAGTCGTGGCGCTGAGTGGCAGAAGTATGTGAAAGGAGATTACAACCATGTTCTCACCCAGTGCGCTATATCTGGCCAGGAACACTTGTCTGAAGCAACCAAAGTAAAGGATACTGGATATTCTCATTGACTGTGTCGGACAACGCTGCTCTGACTCAGTCCTCTTAGAACTAGACAAGCTATCTCTGCTGCTGAATATCACAGGGTGGAAGGATGGACTTTTTTCTCTGGATTCTGTGTCATCCAATGGCATCCGAACGTGGAAAGTATCTGACTGGTTGGATGTAGAAATAGGCAACCTCAGTGAGTACATCTTTATCGAACAGCAGTTGCTGGAATAGGGCATTGCAGTAGAAGAAATCCTTGTAGAGTGGAGAGCACTGAAGCGAAAACTTCCAACCCTTGACATCGACTGGGAGCATCCTGAAAAGATCAGCTGGGAAGATGTCATCAGCCAGATGTCAGCAGATCATTTCATCAGTCTTATTGGTCTAGTTGATTTCTTGGGGACATTCTGCCTCTCAAGTGCAGAAGCAGAGAGGGCGGCTTTAGCCAGCTAGATGTTGTCAAGACAGATAAAAGGTCACATTTACAACAAAGCCCACTGGAAGATCAGACTAAGGTGCGGAAGCTTTCCTGGGAAAGCAGAGAGTTAAGGTGGGCAAAGAGAAAACTGGACAAGAATCATCTAGATTCGCTGCCAGGACTCTCTAAACTTGTCATGATTCTAAGACAGCAAGGGGAACCGTCCACCAAACCAAAGCCAGCCAACTGCCCAGATTGGGCATGTATTGTGCCTACGAATCCAGCAGATGCTGCTGGACCAGGGGACGATAATGCCACAGCAGTGGATTTAAATGTTTCCTGGTGAAATACTGAACTGTAATTCCAAAAGTGCTTAATAGAAAAACAAACCGCTGACTTCATTAATGAAGTAAACAAGGTTCCGTGATCAGGACTCAATATAACTCATTATCTATATTGTTATCTTCTACTCCAGTTTATGCGGAACTCACCATTAAGGCCTGATTCCACGAACGCTTTTTCTCGGCAAAATGCGAAACATTTCGCACAAAACATTTCACTCAAGCATGCATAGTAAAGACAAAGTAGGCTTCGCGAGAAAACATTTCACTTCACCTGTGAGTAGAAGTCAGTTCACTCACTGCGAAAGCGACAAAAAATGTGCAAATTCAATAGAATCACTCATGTATACAGTTATCACAGACACGATTTAGCTCGAGGAATTTTGCCGTCGTGGAATCAGGCCTTAACATGCATGTGTACTGTGTTTTTGCTCTCCAACCAATAACATCTGTGTTTAACTATCCGTGATATTACCTATTGGTTTATTTAAATCTACGCCCTTTTGTCTGATACACCCTGTACAAGTTAAGCCAAGTGCGAACTACAGGGTGAGTAAAAAAACTGATACCTTTGTGGCGAATTTGAATAACAAAGGTGTCAGTTTTTTACTCACCCTGTATAAAAAATGACGCATCAGAGCAGAAAATTGTGCGCTTTACAAAGATATATTAATTTCTTAATTAATAAGTCTATATTTATAATATGTGCACCCTGACAATATTTTACGCATCTTTGCGTTCAACTTAGTGCTGAGGCATTCAAATTCTAACAATATATTATTTCAATAGTTTTGGGGGGTTTTTTGGACACACACTGTAGCACTCGACTCTTATAGCTCTATTGTAATTGTAATATATGCTCATTAATATCAATGACAATGTTTTAGTATAGCCTATACTATAGGCAGTATAAAGGCTAACTTATGTAAATTGTGTTTTTGTGATTGTAATTTGTAAATACATTGCCTTTGTGCATGTTAACTGCGGTAATGTACAGTTGCTTTATATGCATTTTTCATGTTTAACTTGCCAATGCTGAATGAATAAATGAACTATGATAAATTGAATGCAGCCTTTTTGTATTTTACAGGTAAAGGTTTACACAATTTCGCATCTTCGTGCAAAAGTACAAAAAATTGAAATTGGTCATGCAGGTAGGTTATTCATGCAAATTTAATAGCGCCACTAAAGCCTTTTAAAATCGCACTTACACAAAGTATAATCAACACATTAAAAACGATTAATTTACTCTTTATGGAGTTTTAAGTGGTCTTTAATTGACAGAATAAATCCACATTTAATAACCTTTAAGAAACAGACATTTTTGGTATTAAACTTGTCTTTAATCAACAATAATACTGTTGTTAAATGTGATTAAGAGTGAATGTCAGTAAAAATCGAACATACGAGATATTTCGCGGCCATGACTGAAAAATCGATTTTGCTCAAATTTTGCCCAGATATACCTTATTATATCGGAAAATGCACCGTATATTTTTTTAGGTCAAATTCTTTTTAAACTTTGAGAAAATGCCATTTTAACACGACCGCCCTAAATCGCCATTTTGTCTGGGAAAATATGTGCTGATTTTACAGACAAATTTCATGACGACAACCATTTATAATCGATCTAAAACCCTAAAAATCTTATTCTCGGACCGGGTACGTGACTTACAAGAAATCTGAGTTAGTTTTAAGAATAGAAATAATCGTAGTTTTGGAACACAAAATCTTACTTCATTTACGATACCGTCTTAACAAAACTGCAGGTATTTTGAGATATACTATTGTCAGTTGCCATGATAACTTCAGATCACTGTTCAATATTGTCTACTTTTAATAGCGCTAACATACAAATCGACGAGCTGTTTAGGGATTATATTTGTAACTAAATTTTCCAAAATTAGAACTACAATTGGTGTTTTGTTCCAGTTTGATCCATATAATGTACCATTTAGATATATCGACTATCGAGTATGAATGTTTACGAGTACATAAGTTAATTATTAAGCAGCTGTTAATAGTGTGCGTGTGAAATGAACATTTATCCATACAAGGATTTGTTATTTTATTATATATTCTACCACCTCAAACTCAAATTATAGCAAATAGTTTAGAATAACTATTTTAATGTGTGTTCACTTTGATGCACAGTTAAAATAATCAGTAAAATTACTTTATTTTGATATTGTTTATTGATCTTATTATATTCCACAAGTACTAGTACCCAAAAATACAGCATTGAGATATGTTACTGTAGACACCTTAAAGATTGACGTTTACGGCAAATGTCAAACCGCTAGCGAAGTTTTTGATTTTACAACTCTATTATAATAGCTTTTACACCAGTTTTGAAATATGTTAAACTTATTAAACTTGTGCTCTTTAGGAATGATTTAAGAAAGCAAATTAACCACCAGTCATGCCATTCACCACAGCAGTAAATTAAGATTTAGCGTATGAAGTTGACGTTTGGCGTATAAATTTCATGCTTTAACGACTACAAGCTCTTGTCACAGCCCTCGTAGCAGTTCAAGCATGAAATGTGTACGCCAAACGTCAACTTCAAACGCCAAATCTTAATTTACTGCTTTGGTGAATGGCATGACTAGTACCCGTACTAATGGTTAATTTGCTTTCTTAATTCATAGTTAAACGTGTCAGATGCGGCAAATGCCATGGGTCTCGCACTTATGGGGGCCTCGCGCTTTCCTGTGCCACGCCCATTTTTACGAGAACACAGCCATTATATTGGGACACACCCATTTTAGGTGCCTCGCAAATTTAGGGACCTCGGGCATTTAGGGCCCCTAGGCTTGGCAGTTCGCCCCAGCACGGCCCCATGGAAAATATGCAATACTCGTGTGCATATAAATCTCCAGTTCCGTTGAGCTGTTTTATTATGATCCTGTTTATACATGTTGCCCAACAACTGGGCCAGGCAGGCCATTGTCTCGTTTATAATTGATGCCAATAAATTGAAATATTGAAAAAAATTATTTAACAACTTTGTGTGTTTTTAAATTCAAAGGTTTTCATAACAAAGCGGAGGGTGGGGGTAGGGTTGGGGGCCTCGCGCTAAAATCTACCACGAGCCCTGGTCACTTGTCTGTAGTTCTTGTGGTTTTAATGCCAATTGCCAAAGATTGAAAGAGAGCACTCCGATGACTTCCCCCGTCAGAGAATTACTGGCGCAGCCCAGGCCAGCTCAGTGAAATATGGGGGCCCAGGGCCAATTATACCTTTGGGGTCCCGGTGAACCACATTTATTCTCCCCCCCCCTCGACAAATTTTTTATCCCCTTGCAAATTTGTATTTGCCGGCCCTCCTTGAGCTGGGGTCGCAAAAAAAATTGCTCCCTTTGCCCCCCCCCTGCATGGGCGGCCGTGGCGCCACCCCTGCCTTATCATAACTATCTACTTCAAATAATTTTTAAGCCCTGGTCTTTTTCAAGTAGTTTCTTTGTCCTGCAAAAGTAAAAGACTTAGAAATGGTGATTAAATTATTTACTATACGGTATGTTATTTAATAACGAGCAAGGCCGTTATCGTAGGGATTAGGGTTAAGTTATAAAGTTGGTGTTTGGAATAGGGTTAGATGGGAAACTCGTCTAATATGAATCCGGTGACAGACGCAGACCTCTCAACTTTGCAGAGAAATTAAGAGTGAGATTGGGGATGTGGATGACCCCTTTGTAAAAGTCCGGGGGTCTGAAATGGCATTTCGTACATGATGAGAGTTGGTGTTTTTTAATGAAATACATTGCTTCATAACGTCCTTTAAGACAAGGCACTTTAGTTACAATAACTGTATTTCTGCGACATACAGTAATGAGCTTTAATTTGCCTTTGATAATTTACATATAGAATTCTGCTCCGACTGATTCTTCCTTTTGACTGCCGTATTTACATATGCGTACTATTTTGTATCCAAATTGCGGACAAAATGTCGGGCCGTATATGCAGGAACATGAATAACACACGATTATATATTCGATTTGTGACCCGTATAATTATTAATAATGTGCCTTTAAGAATACAATATTATATTATTGAAAAAATACTATAAACTGCTATATGCATGAGATTTACTAAATGTGGCGTGAGAGTGAAGCGAATTGCGCGAGACTCACGCCGAATGCATGAGAGTTGAGGGGTCTGCAGACAAGTTTCGCATCCGAACTTTCCCGTCTAACTTACCGGTCTAAACAGACGGGAAAGTTAGACGGGAATCTCATCTAGACGGGAATCCGTCCCTAAATTCATATTCAGACGGGTTTTCACAGCCGACGAGTTTCCCGTCTAAGACGAGTTTTGCGTCCCTAATATGAATTCGGCTATTCAGATATAAGAGCTGGTAAACTAAAAGCCCATGCATTTTCCCCGATCCCTGCTACTAACTCTTGACGAAGGGCCTTCGCTCGAAACGTCGAGTTTCTGCTTATTTTTTAAGGTAGTAATATAACCACTCAGCACATAAAAACTCCTTATATACGTTCATTTCATGTACACGCACACGCTAACAGCTGCTTAATAATTAACTTACGTCTTCGTAAACATTAGTCGAGACATAAAATAGTATACATTAATTAATATCGACAAAATGGAACAAAACCTCTGAAAACAGCAGTTGTAGTTCTAATTATTTTGGTAAATTTAGTAACAAATATAATCCCTAAACAGCTCGATTATTGGTTTGTATGTTAGCGCTATTAAAAGTAGACAATATTGAACAGTGATCTCAAGTTTAATATCATGCAACTGACAACAATATTATATCTCAAAATACCTGTATATGATGATATTTCACAAATATATCAGGATTTTTGGACCAATTTTAAACTTAGCAAGGCAAAAAGTCTCCATTCAAGAATATATCTTCTTCTCAAAAGGTAAAATAGCTTACTTAGAATACTTGATTAAATTGTTTACTTCGAAGGTATGTAACAGCGTTTGACTTGCAAGACATCAAAAACAGACGATTTCAATGTGCTGTCGTTTATCGCGTATTCATTTGCCCAAAGAAGTATTTACGTCAATTGAAAGCTTGTTTATTAAAGAGCCAACTAGTAGAAGCATGATCGATTTGGAGCTTTATCCCATGGTGAAAATCGGTTTTGTTAAGAGGGTATCGTAAATGAATCAAGATAGTGCGCTCCAAAACTACGATTATTTCTATTCCTAAAACTAACTCAGATTTCCTGTAAGTCATGTACCCGGTCCTTTGAATAACCGAGAACAAGATTTTTAGGGTTTTAGATAGATTATAAACGGTTGTCGTCGGGAAATTTGTCGGTAAAATCAGTGCATATTTTCCCAGACAAAATGGCGATTTAGGGCGGTCGTGTTAAAACAGCATTTTCTCAAAGTTTAAAAAGAATTTGACCTAAAAAAATATATGGTGCATTTTCCGATATAATAAGGTATATCTGGGCAAAATTTGAGCAAAATCGATTTTTAGTCGTGGCCGCCTTACGTTTGATTTTTGTGGACATCCTCTCTTAAATACTAACTTAAGCAGCTTTAATGCGCCTTTAATTAGGAAAATTAACCGCACATTTAGTAACATTTAATCGACTTTAGTATCACATTATTAAAATCGTCGTTAATACACTTAATGCAGCAGACTAAAGGTGATAAAAAAACATTTAGTAACTTTAATAATTCACATTAACTCTTTCTCAGCGGGTCTCTATAAACGTAGACCATGCACGATCTATGGCACGGTCTATGACTTCGCCGATTCATATCTTCGGTTTGGTGCATGCTATGTAGATGAAAATACCACCATTCGATTCAGTGAAACAATATCTCCTAATTCCTATCAATAGTTTTATTCAAATATAGTTTTAGTGAAATTGTATAACTATTTATGACCTTTTGAGAGGTCATGCGGTGTCATATTTCATTATATTAATCAATTGTCTCGAACAATGTAAACTATCCATACCTTTCGCCGAACATAACTTCGGCCCCTTTGAAGATATTGTTTTTGCTATAGTCTTATTCGAACCAGAATCTAAAACACTATTTAAAGTGTTATTTTCAAGCTTGTAGGATTAGTCTTTCGTCTTTTATTTTGGTATTTCAATCTGTTGTGATACTAGTGAAGTCAGCGGGATATTTTCGACCAGAAATACACTTTAGATTTGCGAAAACATCGCGTGTTTACATCCTAGCACTCGGAAAACGTTGGAGAAACCGATTCTATAGGTCAAATTACATCTGCAGCATGATTTTCACGTGCATTGGGCCTTATTGGCCAATTTTACGTGCAGCACGCGTGTGGGAGTAAAAAACCCGATGAAACCCGATATTTTGAAAAATTCAAAATAAACATTTCTACCCGCCATATTCAAACGAAACTTTCTACATAAAAGCGCTTGAATACAAGGAATATTTCACTCATATTAACTTGTGGCGAATTCTGAAGAGTTTAGATGCCTTTAGAAGATATTCAACTTTTTCTCCATATGAAAATACAGAATGTTTGCACTGAAATATTTATGTTATAAAACAATTGAATCAAAATGTCGCTTCTCGTGAAAAATGTAGCCGGTCGAGAAAGAGTTAATAGCATATTAAAGATGCATTTTTCGTCCGGTGTTGATGTAGAAAACATGGTATTGCTCCCCCTATGCAGAAATCTCTCCAGCAGTGTGGTAATTCCCATTTTGAACATGAAGTGTGGAGTCTACTGGAAAGCCATCAGGGAACATAACCTGTTCAATGTTTGTGATGGATGTTTCTAGAATTTCTTTAGCTATTGCACCAGAATCAATGCCATTCTCTCCAATTATACGTATTCGGACAACCTTAGTTACAGGGGTCCTTTTTTCTTGCCATCGCCACAAAGCAAGCAGCCTTGACAAGCTGATACCTCGCCTAATCACAAGGAAAAAGTTGTCAATACTATCATTGTCTACCTCACTCCGCAACTTCACAATAACATCTTCAGGTTTTCGTAGTGTTTCTCCTAAAGTAGATAGTGGTGATTCTTCCTCTGATACATGTACCACATCATCAGGAGACAGCTGTGCCTCTGAATCTAGTTGGTTCTGCAATTCGCGTGCTACTTCCTCATCACTACAAATTTGGTTTTGCAAGTCATCTGGCAAATCCTCATTATTGAATACACCTTCAGGGGAACTGGGACTTTCATATTTGCTGTAAGTTACCTCTTCTGAACTATTTAGGTCCTCAGTGGTACATAGGTATAAGGTTATTCTCTTGAAATCTTTCCCAACTTCTGCTTTGTAATTGTCAGGTTGAAAGAAGCTTTTGCCCCCTGACATGAGTTGTACATGGCTTCCATCCTCATTCAGTGTCGAACTTTTGGTTGAATACTTTCTGCTTCTCAATAGCTTTCTCTAAGATAGTATGATAGTTGGATGTCTTTCCAACAACAACAGGAAGGCATTTACCCCAGACAGGCTTTAAATCATCACCAACAAATTTCATCAAGCCAATATTTATAGTAACCATTTCATTTGTGTTATCACCGACCTTTGCATTTCTTGCTAGGACAAAAGGTATGTCCAGAAATTTGTTCTTTGGACTTGTTTTTCATGTACTCTTTGAGACTCGTAAGCTTTGGTTTATCTTGAGAGACTGGTCTTCCAAAAGATAGCTTTTTATGTGAACCAAAGGCTGAACTAGATGTAGGACATCTGGATCCACTGGAGCACGGTTGTACACTCCATTCAGGAGGACCAACCTGCAACTGATCAGCTTGACAATTCCAGCAATACTGGGAAGTACTCCTTATTTTAGACAAACATTTGCAGCAAAATCTATTGTACACAATAAACAAAAACAAGCAATTATTAATACCCTCAATTATTAATAGGTGGCTGGGTAATCATGTCTATACAAAGATCTCGTACATGGCCCATGCCACGTTTTGCCTGATCACTATAGTGCAAGTGTTTTTTTAATTTTTTTATTAAGAATGTTTCATCAGTAAACCAAATTTCAATCATGGGATAATGCATCGGTCAAATCGGAAAAGTAACACCCTGAGTATGATTGGGGCATTTGCCATTGCTAATTAATATTTCCAAGAGGCAGGCATTCGATGCTACAGATAATTGATTGGTAGTGGGGTATTTTACTTCCCCCTATACAAGGAAGGGGATTTGAGTCATTTGACCATGATTTATTGCAAACCATTTTGCTCACCTACCATGAAGTTCTTTGATTCTACACTAGCTTCCTGTTGGTCAAAAACGTCAGGCCATAGATATCTCATATACACTAGATAGCGCATCTCAGAATACAAAACTGAAGCCAAAAATCTCAGCGGTTTCCCACATGAAAATAGGCGGCGGCCATATTGGTCGTTCCCACTCATCAATGAAATTCTATAGAAAATACTATACTTTTCTGCATTTGTGGATTAAAAATACCTTTTTGAGATATGTTCGCGTTGAAATCGCATCTTTTTTGGAAAAAGGTTACAAGAAAAACATTAATTGGCGATGTTGTTGTCTTTCAATCGCATTTTAAAGCTAAAAATTTCGAATTACTGCATTATTTATATTGTCAAGTGTAAAGTGCATATTCAAACTGTGAATGATTCTCTGGTGAAATATCGTATAATATACATCTTCTTACAGTTTCTGGCACCACTTTATGGAAATAGAAAATTGGTAAGTATAACGTTTAGATTATCAGCGAAGGCAGTTTATACTGTAAAATGTTTAAGACCGATTCTTCACTTTGAACTTTCAGCTTCGGCAATTTTGACTGTAAATCTTTAGTAAAATGTTTAATTATTATAATTAAGACAGAGTCTGCAGTTGGTCATTTTTCACTGTAAATCTTTAGTAAAATGTTTAAGACAGAGTCTGCACTTTCAGCCTGGGCATTGTTCACTGTAAATCTTTAATAAAATGTTGGAGACAGAGTCTGCACTATCAGCTTGGGCATTGTTGACTGTAAATCTTTAGTAAAATGTTTGTGACAGAGTCTGCACTTGGGCATTGTTCACTGTAAATATTTAATAAAATGTTTGAGACAGAGTCTGCACTTTCCGCTTGGGCAGTTTCATAGTAAATATTTATCAAAATGTTTGAGACAGAGTCTGCACTTTCATCTTGGGTGGTTTTCACTCTAAATAAATTTTTAGTAATAATTAACTTCCTCTGATACATTCCGTGTATAAATCACTGGTGGTTAAAAAGTACAAGTTTGTTTAAGTTCTTTCCAATTTTTTATCCAGATGAATTCTCAGTGGTCTTCTTTCCAAGATGATAAAATTTAACTTTGCAGTAACTCTTGATGTTCTTGATCAACTGAACAACATGATTTTCACCAACTCGTGAGTCAAAAAGATGGTGATCTAGCTCAGTAAAAAGACTGCCCTTACGAAAATGTTCTATAGAATCCTATAGAATATGGTATAGAATATTCTATATCCTATAGAATATTCTATAGAACTTGTGATCCTATAGAATATTCTATTGCCATCAGTGGCGTAACGCAACCGCTGGGGGCCCTCCGTCAATCGGCCACTTTGGGCCCCTTTGCTACACTAAAAATAGGGTCCAAAAATTTTTCTCGGAACAATTTATTTTTGGCGACCTCCCCCCACCCCCCCACTCGCCAAAAATTTTCGGATATTCTACCATTTTAGGGGTCCAAAATTTTTTCCCGACATACCCAATGAAATTGCAATTAATTCATTCTAGTATCTCGTCCTTTACCTCAGCCGCGACGTACTTAATCCGTCGCAGCTTCGGGAAATTTCTCGACGGATTTTGCCTTTTCCAGAGAATGGGTTTTTTTATTCAATTCAATTAATTCAATTCCCCAGAAATGTGCTATCAAATTTTTTAAGGTCATTTTTGTTGGGGGCCCCTAAAGTTCGGGGGCCCCCCGTCTCTGGACACCCTGACACCCTCCCGTTACGCCACTGATTGCCATATTCTATAGAACTTCCAGATCCTATAGAATATTCTATTGCACATTCATATGAAACATCCAATAGCATATTCTATAGAATATTTTCTTTGTATGTTTGCATGGTGATAAAATATAATAGGTTTTGTTTGTGGAAACACCACGTAAATTTATTACTGCAAAGCTTTCGATCCGTAAGCCCGGATCTTCATCAGTGCTAATAATATGACTGCCCTTACGAAAATGTTAAATAATAATAATAAATGTTAAATAATAATAATACATATTATTAGCACTGATGAAGATCCGGGCTTACGGATCGAAAGCTTTGCAGTAATAAATTTACGTGGTGTTTCCACAAACAAAACCTATTAGAATATTTTCTATAATGAAATAGTATAGGATATTCTATAGAGTATATCATAGAATGTGATAAACCTATTGACTTAAGCCTAGTTTATTATTTATACTTTATAACAATATTATTGTGTCCCAAAAATTTACATGAAGAGAAAAGATCATGATTGATTTTAGAAAAATATTTCTTTCAAGACAATTTGTTCTTGAAACAAAAAATATTTTCTAATAATAACTTAACTGATTAACTTAAGATTCTTTAAATAAGATGTTTTAATATTTTCTTATATAATATTAGTCTTAATATAAGATAATTAGATATGATTTTCTTTAGAAGCAATAGTTCGTGCATTGACTGGAAGCCTGGTGCCTAATTTTGCAAGGGCGCGAAGCTTCATGGGATAGCGTCGTTTTAAAATTGAAATTTCAAAATACTCTTACATGTGGATTTCAAGGGAAATTTTCCCTTATATTTTTAACCCAAACGATGGAAAAGGCATTGGAAAGTTCTTAAAATGTTATTCAAATCTCACAGGTAAGAACAGTTTCATGTTTGATGCTATTTAAGCACTTTAATTCCGAAATAATGTAGTGAATATGATTGTTTATACTTGGCCATATGTCTTAAATTCCGTTGAATGTTTGAATTTGCCGCGTCGATTTGCATAAAAAAACATACGATATCAAAGATATATATGTTAATAACATTTTAATACTTCAATAAGGATTGGAATTACAGAAGAATTACAGCATTTAATGTGATATTTTCAGTGTATTAATCTTCAATAACCCATTAAGTGCCCAAAATGCACCCAACTAATCTACTATTGCATTACTAGTCTGTCCAATGCCAGACAATTTTACTCCATCTTGCAATTAGCTATTTAATTATCTTTAATGGTCAATGAGCTTAATTTAGTTGTATACATGTATAGAATGATATATCTGTAAAGCTTCATCGGCACTAGCCGATTGAGATAAGGCCTTTATATATTTTTGTATTAAATATTGCAGCTGGGTTATAGCCCGGCCCCAAATATTGTTCTCAACAGCTGGATATTTATTTATTTATTTAACTTTGCCAAACCTTTAACAGTATATTTACAACAACATATAATATGTTTTCTATTGGCAGGGTGTATGCTACAGTTTTCATTAACCCATTGGGCCACAATGTGCCACAGCTAATAATGGGTTAAAATAACCAAAAAATCTGAAAATGTCTAGTTAACCCATTGGGCCACAATGTGCCCCAGTGTGCCCTATTTTTTTTTTTACCTATCTCTGGGTGATTTTACTCATCAATGGGGAGGCTCTGCAGCTTGATGGGTTAACTAGTGCTTTGTATGAGGAAAATGACATACTGGCCCTGCTAATTGTGGTCTAGCCAGCGTGGCCGGCTATCTTATAAGTAGAGCCTGCCCGAAAGCCCTAGTCAAATTGATGACTCTCGGCAGCCAGCCACCGAGAATTGTGATTGGCTGAATTTACATTGACAACAGTTTGATTGACATGTTACGCTAATTTATTCAAATATTTAAAAATAAATACGGTAAAAACAAACGGCATCGCTATATTAAAGTTGTAAACCTGTCGGCTAAAATATAAAATTCAAAAGACAAAGTGTAAAATGACAATATAATAACATATACCAGTATCTAAACAGAATACGGCAAGCCATACTGCTATTACTGTATATGTCGTATGATTTTACCGTATGATCACTATACTATAGTATAGAGTATAAAACCTTGGCTGTTCTTGCTTTGTTTATATTTTTCTGGCTGGCAAATTACAATTATATAAAATAATACATTCCCCATTGTGTAATAATACGAAGCTCTCTTTGGAGCTTTTAAAATACATTTGCCTGCCAACATGTATAACACGGGAAGGGGTCTATTTAAACTTTTCCTAAGTCATTATATTTAATATTGCAATATTTATAACTGTAATACAGCCATACAGGTGCAAGGCATAATATAATTTTGAACGGTCTTCGTCTACTACTAATTTCCAGACAAAGTCGAAGGGC